GAGGTAGAGCTCTCCTAGCACAAGCGTATCTTTGCAGCGAGCTTCTGACAGAACTACTCAAAGATATCCCAGTTTCCCAGCCCTTGACCAGCAAGGCCCTGCCAGCAGCAGACTAGACAGAAGACCTAGCCTTCTATTTTCCTAATAATAATATCTCTCAGTCATTTCCTGTGAAGCTCTCGGGAGACAATCGGTCACGAGATTTAAAAGCCACACAAAGGCAATGAAAAGCACAAAGTCAGCTTTCTTTTCCTGTGTCCCATTTCTTGTGCACTATAGCTCAAGGGTGAGATTACACACACCCATTAAAAAAGACTCCTTGCGCATGGTCCTAATCTTTCTGGAACTGAATTTGAAATCAGATAAACAAAGATCAAGGTTTCCCAGTCTAAAATGAATTCTATTTAATAGAACTCAGCCTGCACAGCGGCATTTTGTGTAATCTAGGTCAGGAGTTAAGGTTAACAACTAACATAAAACGCTCTCGAATTAAGTGAGGCATCGTTTTTTATTACGATCTTAAGAATGTTACTGGGGCTACCGTGCAATCCTGCAACACAGAGCAAGCCTACCCTGCAACCACTTCAGCTAATAAAAACGTATGTGGTCCTCGTGCCCAAATTGCTATTGATGTCTACGCTCGTTGGGGTACACGACCAAGGTGCAAACTTGTGCTAAGCATACGACCAAACCCCAAAGCTCTAGCTGTGCCGAATTCTCATCCCATAGCCATAGCAGTGCTGAGAACACCTAACTCGGAGTTCACTTAGAGTTTGGGCCACTCTGGAATAGTCAGAATATACGTTAATTTAATTTGAGAAAAAGCAGAAGTCACCAAAACCCAGAAATAAACAAAACTGCAAGCAAAAGCTAGTAAGGGAAGAAAATAAATTGCTCATGTTCAGAGGCAGACACCTTGCATACATGTTTTATAAAGATTGAGTTATTATGGGAAGGAGAAACTGGAAAAAGTGAGCAAAGTTATACTTGTGGGTTAGTGGATCATGTATAAACATAACATTTAAAATCGCTTCAAGCATTCCATCTGACAGCCAGGAAAAGGTACAGTAACAGATTGGGAAGTAGGTAAAAACTTTTCAGATTCACCTTGGTAGGTATGAAATTAATGCTAGTAGAGACAAAACGAGGAAACGGATTGCACCGCTGCCTGAGATCACAATGCTAAGTCAATAGCAGTCTTCAGTCTCCACGAGCCAGAGAGCACTCAACGTGCAGATCAGTAACGACAATCAGCTCACTCTGCTAGCAATTTAAATCAATGCACATGGAAGTTGATGAGAACTCATGTTAAACTAGGGATCAAATCAGCAAAGAACATTCCAAACTTTAGGTAACACCTTTCTGCTACTTTGTGTCAACTTGGCATCAGGATCTACAAAGCAAACTCGGAACCACTTTTATCCAGCGAAGTTGTTTACCTGTGATACTATCCCAGAGAGCAACAAGTTGTCACAAGAGCTTTTGAGTTGCAGACTTGCAAAGGAATTACCACTTACACATGGTGAGCTTCTTCCTACCCGAAGACCAAAAAGCTAGAAAACCTCTGCGGAGTAAAAAACTGCTTCTGCCTGCTTCTAGAAGCCACCCATTCGTAGGAAGGATACCATCATTCCTCAGAGGTGCAGCAACTGGACTGTCAAAAGTGAACAAACAAGCCGGAGCAATCTCTTACAATATTTCACATCCCTTTGTTGCTGGTTAAGCAAAGACTAAAGCAGTATCAAAAATCCCTCATGTTAATTGGAATATGCATTTGTCACTAAGTCTCAGGCTTTTACCTTTTAAAATACTGTTTGATATGTATCTTGCTTTGAATCAACCCCCAAAATAAATATTACACGTGGAAAACACAGTATGGAAGTCTGGAGTCCTATGAAGACAACACTGAAACTGGCCAAGCCTGCTGGTATCATGCAGGCCTCCAAAAGATGAATGACAGAAGCATTTAAAAAGACCCCCAAAAAATCCCGAACTGAAAACCACATCATGTCTCAAATGGAAATGTTATCTCTGTACTACAGCATATAATTTTTTCTGGTCAGTGGTATGTCTCCAGTTTCAGAGAAGTAGCGATTCAATATCCTGGAGTCAGGTGTCCAAAAATCCCTTACTTTGCCGTAAAACTCTAGACCTTTTACAATTAACTTAGCTGCTGAAACTCTAGAACAGAACAAAAGCAGTTCTTTGAAATGCCTTCACGTTCTTGTATAACAGCATTATTTTTTGTTCTTCTCCAGTTTAAATATGTTGAGCATCTGATGTTTACTGCAAAAGCTGCCCACAGGCTCTTTCACCAGCAGGCCTCCTGTCACGCACCGATGGCCCCTCGGCCTCCAGGAAGCATCAGCACTCCCGAAGAAAAAGACAACGAGGAATTTGGTTGCTTTGCTTCCCTGCAACCCCCGTCTGCCGGTTGGCTTTAGTCAGAACGCGCTTCCTCCGCCTCTTTTGCCTTGCAAGCTTCAGCCTCCGACTGCAAAGAGGCCTGAGGAATGGAGCCAAAGGTTCGAATGCTGTATGGATCGACCGGCGGCACCAGCGTAAGAGACTCCACGCTGAGCGTGTCCGTGTTGTCGTCTGTTATTAACGATATCGTGGGCTGCTGCGCAGGAATCAGGCTAGGAGACAGGTTTGTTGTTTCCACGTCACTGTTTTTTACAGTGTTCTTAGTAGACTTTGAGACAGCTGAAAGAGTTTCATCAGTCAACATCGTCTGACCAGAAATGGTCATCTGAGGCTGCTCTACAGCTGAGGCGTCATCTAATAAAAGAAAACACCGAGAAACAATCAATATCCAACTTAGTATGTCCATTAAACCTAACAGCAAACTATTATTTATGAATACTTAGGAATAACTGGGTGGAAAATACAGAACTGTGAAGCACTAAGCTCACACATTCACTTCTTAGTAATTAGAAATAAACCAAATTATGAACGCATAGCAAAATGCCAGATGTTCCAATTAAGAACCAGAAAATTTCAGTATTAGAATATGCAGCGATATCAGAAATATTCCTAGAGAGAGGAAACTGAGGTGAAAAAATAAGAAAGCCTCTCCAGTATTTAGTGTAGACTAAACCAAACAGTCACTCCACATCAAGAAGCTCTTTAAAAAAAGAATGAGGAGAATCCTGTGTAACTAATTTTTTTCAAGAGGTGGCTTGTGTCTTAAAAAAATCTGGAAGTCATTCTCTCATTTCATTCTCCAGATTTACTTTTAAGTGACACCTTGACCACAGAAAGCAGAACTACGGAAGAACCGGGAAGAGAACGATGTGCTCATTCTAACTGGAAAGTGCTGCAGAACCAGCCTGGTTTTATCCAGGCTCGCGTTCATTCGATTTTGTTGTGCTCCCAGGCAGGGAGCACACGGTACAGATAAAATCAGGAATAAGCATCACATACCACACAAGTCTGATGTGCACCTACAGCCCTCACACAGTGAAAATAGCTTTAACAGCTATTTGTACTGTCCTTTTCCCCCCTTAACAGCCTAGCTAACTCTCAAGTAAACTGCTCCTTTGTCTCAGATGGAGAGTGAATGAGCCAAGACAGCCTTTTATTAGCACGTCAGGTTTTTTTTCCCCTTTTCAGACCAGAATAATAGATGCTATTAAAAGCAGCGGTTATCCAGCTTCAAGACAGACCATTTTTAGAGCTCTAGGAACAAACAGCATGTGTTCAAGTGTACAGGCACCTGTAGAAAAGCCTACAAGGCAATGTAGTGAACACAGAAGCTAAGAATTGGGTTCTGTTTTTAATACATAGTCATCTTAAAAATATTTGTTTCAATATGATTCCAATTAATCCTGTAAAAGAACAGAAGGCATGAACATAAGGCAAAAAAAAATACAAACAAAGCTGAGAATGGAATGGATATCAGTAAGGTATCAGGGGAATAACAGTAAGATTATTGTGGGTTGGTTTTTTTTTTACCTTTCTGGTAAGATAACCCCAAACAATGGTGTATTTTCACTTTAGAAACCACTCTGTTACTTTTTGCTGAATCGGTGGCTAAAGCTTCTCACTTGAATAAAAACAGAATTTATAGATTGTAAAAAGCAGTCTCCTTTTAATTAAAAGGGACATCATTGATTATTTTCGAAAAATAAGGACAGATTCAAAGTAACTGCAGATTCTTCTTTTTAGCTGTCAAGAAGCTTTAGTGGGAATGTGGCAACTGCATGGAAAATGAACTGCTAAACAACAGAATAAAGCCTCATTTCTCTGCATTCCAAGAGAAATACAAACATTTAGGTATGTACAAAACTGAGTCTTAGTGGTGACTCTACCTTCTGAATTAATAAAACCTCAAAAGAATATCAAACATTCTTTGCCAAGATTATTTTTCGTCTTAATTATAATTACGAATATTCACCAAAATTCAGGATGCTGAAACATTCTGGTTAAATAAAGTTTAATCAATAAATGGCATTCTGCCTAGGAATGTTATATACAGCACATTTTTACTGCAGTTCTGCTATTTCACTTCTGATTCTGTAGTCCATTTCTTAAATCACTCCTCTCCCCCCAAAAAATTAATGTATTTTCTTAATGCTTTCATTCACTGAAATCATGAAAGATGTGCATATCCTTTTGTTATGCTGTATTGTCTCCAAATTTTTCCAAACAGGATCTAAATTAATACCACAGTGAATCCAGACAGGTACCAAGCTCTTGATCCAAAAGAGTTTCAAGACACTCGGTATGTTTAGAGATCATGATCTGGAACTTCTGTCTATACTGCACATAAAACTAGTAATTGCCTTTCAAAAACCCCAACCCCTAACACTTGGTTCCAGTTTGACTTTTGCATAGAAAGAGCAAAAGTAATTGTCATTTTGACCTGAATAAAATCACCAGTCACCAAGGTATGCTCTACTCTTACATATCAAAAAGTCACCACCTAATACGGGAAAAAGGCATTTCTATTTACCTCTCCACAACCCCCATGTATTAAAGCAAAAGTGTTCTGGCCAAAAAAATATAAGCCAGATCTGCAACAAAAACCAGAGAGAGTGAAGTGAGTTTCTTAATGGCAGTTGTGATGTTAAAATTTAATTCTAACACCTCCTCACACCCCAAATTTAAAGTTTGAAAACAGGGTGTCAGTCTGCAAGTTTTGGGGTCTGACTAGCTCTCTCCGAGTGCAGTGGTTTCAGCAACCTCAGATGTTTTTCAGGGCTTCCACAACGTTACCAAGATTATCATTACGGAAAAGCAATTCAAGGCAAATCACTCAACTTCTGTTATATTAATTTATGGTAAGGATGATTATTACTAGAAGGAAGACAGAAGAGGAAAAGGGAGAAAAGGAATGTCAACTACAGAGAAGCGTCTCAAGCTGTAATGCAACATACTATGAAAGGGTAACAAAAATATAAATAACAGGACACTAAATGGAAATATGCAAAGTAAATCCATAAAGATGAAAAAGGGTGTTCATGCCATGACAATTAAAAAAAAAAGAAATTAATCAGATCAAGTTAAAACAGGTTACATAAATAAGAAGATAGTCTGAAGCTTATTTCCATCCTTTTTGCATCTGCTTCTCCTCCCCACCTCCTCAGGCAACTGAACAGTGCTTAAAGCCATCTGCCTGAGGCTGATGACGACACAAATCAAACTGGTGCCATCACAGTTCATGGACAGTCTTACGCTGAAGGCTTGTCCACTCTAGCCAAGTTACAAACCAATTTCTTGCTGCTAGCCTGCATCGCTGTCCGCTGAGGAGCCTGGGCTTACTAAATGGCACTACAGCCACGGCTGGCCCTGTGCAAATGAAGACATGGCTGCTTTGAAGCTGGAGGCTTGAGAGCAGAATCCCCGTCTTTGGCAAGAGAGTCAAGAAACGTGGGAGAAACTGCAGGTAAGGCGTTCAGAACCAGCTAGCTACCGCTTCCCCAACGTCCCCCCCTCCCCAAAACAGCAGAGACAAATATTTGTGACGCTTTCCTCGGTTTCCTACCTCCCTGTCATTGCTGTCAGCGTGGCAATCAAATGTGTCCTAGTAACTGTTACGGGCTTTGGAAAGCTTATGGAGGAACCTGCCTGAATGGATATTGCGGGAGTTTCTGTTGCAGCTGCTGCTTGAAGACCTAAACCCAGTGTCCACCGTGACTGTCAGCCTCCGACAGACTAAACACCCGCCGACGTCCTTTCCTGCCAGACCTTACTAGAGGAAAACACAGCGATATCATACGAAGGCCTTAACAATGACACAAGGGAGGGGAAACTGGAATGAAGACAAAGGATAAATGTTAGAGCAGCAACAAGTATAAGTGACAAGGACACATCCGTAACTGCTGGTATCATGAATGCAGTTTGATACCACGCCCAAGACTCTCACAGGTTTAGGGAAATACTTCTGAAGCTGGAAGTATTAATTCTTTAAAAAAAAGCAATTTTAACCAAATTTAATTTTTCGCTTACCTATGTGCTTGCAATACAGTTTGGGTTATGTCTTAGCAATACCAACACCACTTAGGCTGAGGAGGGACTGGCAGGCATTTATTGGCATGACAATCTACTCGCATGCTTCAGAAACCTCGAGAGAAGCTGTTTGTCACAAATTCTGGTCACACAGTTTTATTCTGATTTCCGCTGGCCATAAACCGTAAGAGGTGGCACTACCGTGCAGGTGATAATACTTCAGCTCATTCAGCCTTATGATTCTATGCCACGAAACCTAAGTATGAGATGGAGTTTATAACAGAGCCAAACCAGAGCGTTTTAAAAGATAGCAGCAGTTCAGATGATAATGCTTGGTGCATAGAAAGTTTCTAGAAAAGAAACTTTCTAGAAACAAAAGTACATCCTTATCTAGTTAGAAAATAACAAGCATCATCAAACAGAAGAAATCAAACCATGTTTAGGTTACTAACTGTAGAGGGAAGAAACAGGGATGGTTTCACAGGCTCTACATGCTTCACTAATCATCCTCTCCTTGGAAGATATAAATTTTATTTTACACACCAGAATCCAACATGTTCTCTGCAACACAGGACTGCCATTTGTACTTATTCTAGACCTTTTACCATCAGTATCTGCCAAGAAGTGCAAAATACAGCAGAAGTGGCGTAGAAGATCAGTGCCTCCTGAAGTCCTCAATATCCACTGCTCCAGTGTAAACATTTTCTTAAGTATTAAATCTAATTGCATTTTAAGGCTTAAGACAACTTAAAAAGTGATAAAACAAAGCATAGAAGACATTACAGACACATAATTCTAGAAGACTGCTAACTTACAGTAACACACCTTCTTCATCTTAATCCTTGGCATATGCAGCACTTCCAGCCTAAAAGCGCTTGAAAGAAGTGCCCGGTTCCAGCAAGTGTAGCCAAGGAGAGACCATATTCTACACTCAGAAGCCTGATGATTAAAATCTGCCTAGCAAGGGAACACCTTAGGCATGGCAACCCTTCAAACAGGCATGGTATTAAAATAAATAAATAATTTTTTTAAAAAATCACACCAATACAAAGAAAAAAAACCAACCTGACAGCGACATTTGCAGAACCTGATACTGCTTTTTCTGTCCTGCTAAGGATTCTGCTTTCTCTAAGGGACAGCTTCTGCATTTCAAATTTTAAGGAATGGAGATCTTGCAAAGGGCCAAGCTTAATTCCCAAACACTGCAAGTGCGAAAGCTGCTAAGCTTTAAAATACCTGTACTGTGAAGTATTGTGACAGTTATTAGGTAGGAGAGCTGATAAACTCTGCAATCAGAAAAGTTGGTTTTATTTATCACAAAGCACTTAATGCAGCTCTTGTTCTCTTCCCATGACTGAAACAGGCACAGCACCACGCGACTACATGTAAGCTCAGTTAACCTCCCTCTTCACGCATGACACTGTGCGACTCTTCAATGCAGGTACAAGTGATAACAAGTAAAGCATTTTTACAAAACACCAAATTAGAATTATTTTTTTTCCTGTGCTACATTGCTGAAAACTCTTTTACCATTTAACCATTAACATATACGCTTCTCTTCTAACACTGTTTTCTCTCGACTAATAATTATGCAATTTGTCATTCATCACTGTTTCATGGGCAAGTCAGGGTGTATGTTCCAGATCTTATTTCCTGAAATAACTCTGTGAAGATTACAAATTCCATCTCGAGCACATGAAGCTCTGAATAGTTTAAATCTTTCAACAGACAGTAGCACAGGACATTATAATCACAAGTTTATAGTAGAAACAGCTGCTGTGGTTTAAGATGCTGCTCTTAAGGAAGGTAGTCGAGGTAGTTTGCTTGAAGTCCATGCGCACTTCTCTTTACCTTGTCTGGCCTTCTTGACTGAAATTCCTGAGCAATCTAACACGTTCTTCGTGCTGAACAACCTGAGCAGTTGCCAGAACAAAGCAGGGAGCAGGGAAGGAGGGAGGGACAGAGAGAACGTATGTGTGATGTGTGAGTATGTTTAACGTGGAATTGGAAATGAGAAGAGACATGCAGATGTGACGGATGGTGGCAGCAGCCAAATGCTACCTTGGCCATAAACCAGATCTTGGTAACTGCTGGCTCTTCATCAGCTGCTTACTACTTCCTCATTAAAGGAGCCACTTCACATCATGCAAGCCTTCTCCTCTGCTTCTCAGAAGTAAGAGGAAAGCAGCTGAGTTTCAACTGTCCTTAACAGGCTCAGGGGAAATCGCACTGTTTTACACTGAAGTGGGTTTCCGTAACTCAGCCGAGTGGTCAGTGAGACCCGACACAATACAGACGGTGGGCGAGACACCATCACTTATTTCAGCTCTGTACTTCTCTTCAGGCAGAAGTCTACTCAACAGCTTCCCAGAGATATCAAATAAATAATCTCTTTCACGGTCAAGTTCTTGGCAACAGTTTCCGGTGTAAATCACAATTATATATATAAATACTGTAAGTGGGAGAACATCCATGAGGCCGTTCATTACAAACGTGCAATAAACTGGTCAAACCTGTTAAGGCAGAAACATTATTTCCAGGAATAGACAACAGTATTGATGTGAAACTCCATATTAGCAAAAAGTGTCAAAGCTCCCTGGGTTGGAGAAACCCATCTGTAATCCACATGCAGATTAGATTCATCCAGAACCAACTGCAGAACCGACTGCTCGCTGTCCCGAGGCACTGCATCGCCTGCTCATGCACAGACACTCACTGTCTTCCTCTTCGTTACTGTGCTCCGAGAACAAAATCCAGGCGTTGAGCTCCAGAGCCCTCCCTGCAGCAGGTCAACGCAAGCTGCGGACTCGGGACCCACGTAGCTGATGCAGGTTCTCCCTTTCCACTGACTTTGCTGAAGGTTATTATGCTTGCAGTGGTCGGGCAGAGAGTTGTATCCTCACTACTAGATTTGCTAAAGCATTTACATCAGGGCAGCTAGATCCTGTGCAAAAAAAAAAACCTAATCCCATCCAAAGACTGTTCTCGTGCATGACACGTTGCACTTTGAACATACTTTATGATTAAGCCACAATGGTGGTCACACTAAAAGTGGGCAGTTCACGCAACCTAACTCAAAGTGCAGACTGAAACCAGACTATTAAGAAACACCAAAACCTTTTCTGCTATTTTTTGGTTTATTTCTTTTGGTTTTGTGTCTTCTTGTTTGTTTTTTTTTGGTGGGGAGAGTTTGTTTAGGCTTTTCTTGTTTGTCTTTCTTATTACTCTTGATTTTTTCAGCCTCCTGTCATCAGGCTTTTCAAATCGCAGGAAAAATAAACAGGATTTTATTTCTACAAAGGCCAGCATACTGCATCAGTAGATTTTCCTTTTGTTAACTACAGTCTATGATTATTCTTCACCAAGGCACCATCTTTTTATGCTAGATGAAGGAACACATGCTCTGGATCCACTCTGTTTTTCAGAGAAGTCAGACTACATGCATTTGAAAGACCTCAGTCTGAAACATGGAGTAGTCTTGCTTCACATTTCTGTGAACTAGCATGTTGCTTACAGCAACAGAAATAATTCAGATTTTTAATTTTTATCTTTTTTGTCACAGTTTTCTCTTAGCTACTACTGCTAAGAACTTGTAATTGCATTTTACTTCCAGATCTCAGAGGACTCAAATACAGTAAAGGACACCAGAGATGACCCTTTCTACACTGCTGAGGAGAAACCTTTGGCTAAGCAAAGGTTTTCTTGCAGTGCCAATCCATACTGAAACTTTCCACAAGTGATATCACTTCTCTGTGTATTATTATCCAGGTCATCAAGGGAATGGGTAACAACAATCGTTTAACAAAAGAGGAAATAAAATGAGGTCCTTTCAAAGTTTTGAATATTCCAGATTATTTTTCTGGAATTACACATACTGTAGGAATATTTTAACTGATAGGTTAGTCTCTCACAGTAATAGATGATTTTTCATCTAGAGTCGGGGTGCTAGAATGCTTTACAGAACATTCAAGACCTTCCTAAGAAGCCTCTGCTTACCCTTCCCTGCAGTATTTCTTGCAGGAAGGCACTTTGGACATACAACGCACACTGAGCCCCTGATGGTGTTCAGTGAAACCCACACAGCACCAAATGCCCGACAGAGACTGCACCATTTCCTGAAGGGCTGCAGAGAAGTTTAGATTTACACGAGGCTTCCAAACAGGAGGCCAAATGGTCTGTCTTAGGCGAACCAGAACAACTATTTCAAGGAGAGATCAGCATTGGAAGTGGCTGTTAAACTGAGGGGGCTGTTCGTAAACGTCTTAAGAATTCAGCTACCTCTGTTGTTGTACAACCAAAATGAGGTAGAGAAGGTCAGTTCTAGCATGAAAGCATTTCAGTATGCACCCGTCAGGATTTACTTCTTTAGTCTCCAGTTTTGAGGTCTTTTCCTCACACACAATTTGCACTCAGGACAAACACCATTACAAGATTCTTTACAAATACTACACAAAAAAAGGAAGAATGGGGACATTCTAATGCAACAAGAAGTCTTGGTGTAAAGATACCCACTGAACATACTGCTCAACACAAAGGTGTGGTAGCTACATTTGTGCACCTTATACCGTCAGTCTGTTTGTACTGCAGCTGCTTCCGCACCCATAACAAAACCTCTTCAGAAGTGGAGCAAAAGCTTTACAATATTTCACATTTGGCCCACGGTTTCAAATTAACACGACTGTCAGATAAACATACAAAAGCAAATATCATCCAGTTCAAACACGCTTCACGTGGAGACCAACTCAGGCACTGCAGGGAAAGGCTAACAGTTTACATTACACATTTATGCAGAGCAATACTTTGGTTTAAAAACAGAAATCCAAAACAACACTTTAAACTGCAAGTCAGAAAAGCAGGCCATTATTTCACCAGTACTTAAAATCACTACTGAAAGATGTCGAGTACTTATTAGAGTTCCAGAAAGCTGAAGAGACCATTAAAATTCACATCACAATTTACTTTAACTGGTTCAGCTAAATGATCGAGTGATTTCAAGAAATATAAAGCTCTACTGTTTTTAACCCAGCGCCGTATTAACTTTATTTTACAATGAGTTACTCTACATCCCCTGGTGCCTAGGCTGAAAACTCATGATTTAATACCTGATGGGCTCTGTGCAGCAGAAGGAGTGGATGTTGAGCTTGCCGTCACCGAATCACAGCGCCCTGTACTCCCACTGCCGCTGGAAGGTGATGGTGAGGACACTGGTGATGGGTTGTGCTGATTGATACACTGGGCTACGGCAAAGCCTGCGGAACAGGACAATGATGAGTTAATCATTAGCTTGGGAGAGTTAACCTACATGAATGAAATGAGAAAGGGTAAGAGGAAATGTCACAAAGCGGGGCTAATTTTGCGTCGTGATCCTCTTTCCACCTTCATCCAGAAGCCTGAAAACATGCTACAAATGCTAATCAAAAAACCAAGGAAGTAGAGGTTAAGGGATTCAAACCAACTGAAAACTTAGAGCTTGCATAAACACGTCAAAACCCTTCAGTATTTGATATAATCAATAAATTAGGGATCACAGACCTTAAACAATAAGGAAAATAGTTAAGTCAAAAGTGAACAAAAAACCTCGCAGACAGAAAGCCTGTGTAACATTGGGTTAGGCCGGCAGTGGCTTTCACCCACCTTCTCACAAGTCAGACTTTTCCCAGTCTGAAGACTAGAAAGGCCTACACAACGTCTAAGAGCACCTTTAAAATAAGTCTTCCGGCTTTCAGCCTAATATTTCCTCCAATTCTTTACACTGTAGCATTCTCTTCTTTCCTGCCATCATCTCGCATCCACTCCTTTTTTCTTCCTCTGCAAACCTCTGCTTGTGCCTTTGATATGTCCTAAAAATAATCTTAATTACAGTTCCTTTCCTCCTCACGTACAACGCACTTTCTCTTTCAAGATGCAATATGAGGAAGTACTGAGAATCGGCAGCACAAGGAATTCCACTGGAAGCACGTCACTTGGGAAAGAAGCACATGGAAGGAATTCAAATCCCTGGTTTCTCAAATCCAACGCCTCAGAACTGAATAACCTGGGAAGGAAGTACTTTGCAGTATTTAATTTCACCGATTTAGTCAAGATTGGAAGCCACACGTACACAGAACCTACATCATGCATTCACTGCACAACACTACACTGAATCAGAAAGTAAACAGTAATTATTCCATGTACATTGTGCAAAGTATTTTGTACAGAGGCGTGCTATGAGCCAAAAAGATGACTGAAACGTATTCTTTAGGTTACTGGTGAATGCATTACATTGCTATTCAGACACATCCTACTAAAATAAGTGCCCCAAAAAGTGTCTCCATTGGGTCCAGCAGCACTGCAAACACACACTGGACATTTAGTAGAAGGAAACAATTAGTAAATTTTTCTTTATATAATACCTCTGATGACAACAGGAAGATCGGCACCTAGTTCACACCCCGTAATTCTGAGATCCAGGCAATACAAATAGGTATTAAAAATAGGCAGCCAAGCTGGGTCTTTGAAAGCAGCAGCCGTAATTAAATACCAAACTTGGAATGGTTCAAAAAAATATTAGCTGGAAATTAATTAGAAAAAACAGCTGAGGTGATGCAGTTGTCCTGCATTATTCTTGCACAGAACAAAGGAATAAATAAAAAAAAATACTTAATATACTTCAGGCCTATAAAATCAACTATATCCTAGGACTACGGAGCATGGGACACTTCAACCAACTCACACTAGAAGTAGCTTAGTAGTACTGAAGTAAACTATCCCAATCTGCTGTTTTTACAGCAGCCGTGGTTCACGATAAATCTTTCTCAAAGTCAAAGTCACTCCAGGCCTGATTACGGGGTAAGCACAAACAGATTCCTGTGAAAGTCACTTGGAACTAAGAAACCTCATTCATTCATTAGTGAGGATAAGGGGAGAAGAAAGAGGCTTTTGACATTTATTTTGTCATCAGAAAAATTGATTGATATATTGTTTTACTTATTATATTATTAGCTACCATAAAACGCATTTCAAAAACGCAGCATTTGAAACAGTTCATGTTCTGTGCCTGGTTGCTCACACTCAGTAACAAACAAAAGCTTCAAAATACTTTTCCCTCTGGATTTGCAGGTGCGTTCAGTGGAAGTCTCCATTTCCTGGAATCTAAATTAAGCGTGTGGTCATTCACACAAACTACCGGGCTGCACCACCCCAATACTTCCCCTCCCTCTAAAAAAAAGAATTAGTAGATGAAGTCACTTGTTACGAACACAAGCGCACTCTTCTTAAGAGAGGGCTAGTTCCGAAACAGTAACGCTGGCATCTTTCCAACCACACCTTTTCCATGGAAGTCATGATGGGAACGTAATTCCTTATTTGACATACAATGTACACTTATCTTTAGAAAAACCTGACCAGCAATATAAATGCTTTTATGATTGCTATCTCCCCGACTCAGGCGAGCTGAGCTCCAATTTAGTCCCAAGGCAGTAGGACATCTGCTTTCCAAGCTGGGCATTTGAATTTATTATCACTGAACCACACTTAGGGAGAAACGCTGAGTGTTGTGAACTGACTGGCAGCTTAGCGGCAACAAGATTGAGTCTTTTTGTACGATACAGCAAAATTAAGTACTTTCAAGCAGTATGAGATTCAATTTAAAGCAAGTTAACCTAAAAGCAGAAAAACTCACCACTTGGGAAAAAAAGCCCAAACAAAAAACAAAGCCCTCTGCAGAGAAGTCAATTTGTGACATAGACAGAGACAAAAGAGCAAAGTGCTCCTTGATTTAGAATCATTCCTTTAATGCCAAATCCAAGTTTATATTTTAGGAGTAGCTGTGGCCCTTTTCTGCCTTTGCCAGCTCTAAGGTGAACACCGCCAGGCACAGTCAGTATGGCGGCACTGCCTACAATCCAGCAAGAAAACAACCATGAGCAAATTAAAGAAGGAACCACTCACAACTAACACGTGTCCCATTAATACTGAGTATGTGAGACTTAATGTAAACTAACGCAATTTGTGGAGGCAGCAAAGTATTAAGACACTTCTAGTGTACTTGGAGACACCGCCATGGATGTATTGCTCCCAGCACGCCTGGCATATACCCTCAGGCCATACTTGTTTTTCTAGGGGTAAATTTTTGCGTAAGCCCCGTCCTGAAGGTGCGTGTTCAGAAACATATCACAGCAAGCATTTCATCGTTTATTCAGATCGACACTTTGGCTTTTGCGGTTACAAACCACAAATTAAAAACTGCTTGTCAGTCAATGCTAATCTCACCTGGAACTTTGTCAACAGATGCAAAAACAGAGCGTTGCACCGTAGGATCACTGCTACCACGTCGTGACTGATCATAAAACCTAAACGGGAGGTGTGCAGAGCTGTGTCCAAAACCCATAAAGCCTTCAGTTGCAGATTGAATAGGAAGATCCAGGAGAGCTATGTTTAATCACAAGAGAAGTGAAAATAACATTGACAATTTGCTCCGAATATTAAGACTAAACTAGATTGTTTAACGTAACTCGCCTCCGTTTACCTCTTAATTACAGTTACGATTGCACTGGAAAGAAGAGAGACAACATTTCTGGCAACCTTCTCTACCACTGCTGTCCACACCACATATAAACTAATGAAGCCTCTGAATATAGCAGAGGAGAAAAAACAGGATTACAGTAAGCCCCTTGCATTTTTCTCATCATCACCACATCCAAACAGAAAGGACTGTCGGTACCATCAGGACACCATCCAGCTCAGGCAAGCTGAGCTCCAATTTATTCTTAAGGCAGTAGGACATCTGCTTCCTAAGGAGGGCATCTGAATTTTGAATCACAATCACATTTAAAGAGAAACGCTGAGCTCTACAAAATGATCGGCGGCTAGTGGTAACAAGAAAGAATTCCTTCTTTTTCAGCCTTTCTTTCATGTATCTGTCATTGAATAACAAAATCATGTATTCAGAATGACCATTCACCTGCTATTCTCTGCATCTTCATGCGCCGAGCTTGGATACGACCTTTTACAAGACGTTGTTTTGCAATAATGCAGCGAATGTGATCAGAAAAAATGAATGTAGCTTGAAGAATAGGGAAGGGCTTCGAATGCGGATTTGATGCAGGCTTGTGAATTTTTATGATCAGAGCTCTACTGTCATCCTCTACTCCCATCACCTGCATATCCTAAAAAGAAACAGAAGGCAAGTAGCTAATGAATATTTATAACTTTTAAACTAAACAGCAATATTAAAAGAAAACCCTATGAAAGCTCCACTAAAGCTCATAAAAAAAAGTTTCCATTTTAAAAAAGACTACGCAAGTTGCACAACCTTGGATTTAGTTCTTCAGAAATTGGCACTCGGAGGCTAAGTCAATTTAAAATTCAACTAAGTCATGTGAGCACAGTAAATTTTCAGGAAATAAAAGCATTGCTGGATAAGGCAAGAAAGAAATATAAATGAGAGAAACTTCTTAAAGTTTTTGAAATCATAGATCATTCTGAAGTTACAATCTGTCACCTTCCCCATCCACGTCGGAAGATCAGAACTTCGGGAGAGTTTGTCACTGTGCTACTCAAGAAAAGTGCTTGAGACTCCACCGTATTTGATTTGGTGCTCAAATGAACACTGAAATATGTATTAGGGAAGTGACGTCATTTTCAAGTGCACCTCTAATTAGCACAGAAAACCCCAAACAGTGTAAAAGACGGGAACTAAAAAAACGACTAGTACCAGAAGAAACAAGTAAGCATGGTACTGAGCTTAAATATATAACCTAATATTAGTATTACTATTTCTCCACCATACACGTACGTTTTCAGCTGAGAAAAAGTAACTACCCAAAGCAAAACTCCTCTTACCTGCAAAAGGCCTGCAAATTTAACTACTCCCCATCCCAGCCTGGCAACATCTGGCTCAACCAAACTCATCTGGTAAATATCCACAGCGAGGAACCTTTGAACTTGACCCCCATCCTTTGTTATGACCGTACAAGCAATGAGATCACTGTTATCTGAGGAAAAGGAAGGAAAAAAGTTAACACAGCGACTGAAATTACGGATTCTGGGTTTCAGGTGTTTTATGCAACAGAAAATGTTAATACACAAAAGTGTAAAAATCATTACAACACGTTTAAAGTTGGGGCTGTTTTTGGTTTTAAAATATATTTTGCATTTCGCTGTTTTATTTATAGCTACCTAGAAAGGGCAGGATGTATTTTAACAACAGTGGGTCAGATATCTTACAAGTTATGTATAAGACGTTGTCTTGGTTTAGAAGACAGGGGAAAGC